TTCCTGCAGGCCCTTGTGGGTCAGGGAACCTTCCAATCCAAACAGGAGGCAAGATCCCTGAGGCTCTGCCCACCACCTGCCGTGCACTTCGTCCACCCCCAGGCTCTGGCCCTTCAGGGAAACCACTTCGGACCCGACAGCTGCAGCTACCCCCCGGGCCCACAGAGAGTTCCAGACCCCAGAGAGCTTACCTGGCATCCCACCTCCCACCACAGCTCCCACTGAGCCGCTTCTGGGAGGCAAGGAGAGCCCCAGAGACTGGGGGTGCTCACAGGGTAGGCACAGGGAAGTCCCTCTCCCAGCCGAGGAGTGGCTGGGAGGACAAGCAGGGCAACTAGAGCCACGGGGGGTGGGGGGGAGCCTCTGGGGCACCAGGGCTGTGCAGTGTGGGGTGTCGCCTGGGGCTGCCTGCCCGCTGCCAGCGCCTCAGCGTAGCCCTGCACACCTGAGCCCCGCTCCCCCTTTTTCCAGCCGAGGACCACGCAAGGAAGGTAGAGGCGGCCTCATCCAGGGCTGTTTATTGAGTCTGTCATCAGAGGTGGGGAAAGACTTGCCGTTCATCAGAAACAGAGTGGCTGACGTGGGGAGTGTGGGCTGGGGGTGGTGTCAGGGTCCCATCAGCCCCCACCCCAGACGCTCCCGACAGCCGCTGGGCATGGCGTACAGCAGGACACCATCCCTCCCCCACAGGCAGTGCCCCCGAGCTGGGGTCGAGTAAGTCCCGGGTGCCCCAGGCTCAGGCCTCGAGTACCAGCCTACTTGGGAGGCCCCAGGGAGGGAGAGCGGGATGTGGGAGGGCAGGCCTGGTGGGGCAGAAGGGGTGCAGCTCCCGGGCACCTGGGGCTCAGCCTTCGTCGTCCTGGTAGGGTGGGGCTCAGAAGTAGAGGGCTGGCTCGCTTCGGAAGTCCGCGAGGTCATTCTGACCAGCAGGGGTGAGCTGAGAGAGGGGCACAGAGGCGGTCGATGGGGCTTGTCCAGGCGTTGGAGCACACACCCCACCCCCGGCCGCGCCCCGCTTCCCTGGGTGTCCGCCCGCCTGCCCCACCCCGCTCACCATGACCTCCTTGGACGGGGGCTCCTCCGTGCTCGGCACATGCTCCAGCGCCCGCTCCTGCCACTTGCTGAAGGCCATGGAGTGCTTCGGAGTGTAGCTGGACAGGCCTGCGGGCCGACAGGCACACCGGTGGATGTGCGGCTGCATGATCATGTGGCCCGGGCCACCCCCTGGGCTGCCCATCCCCACAGGCAGGCACTCACCGGAGCTGCCGTCCGGCAGCCGAGGGCTCTCGGGGCCCACGCTGTTCACGAACGTGGCTCGGGGCAGGAAGAGCGCGAAGGGCTTCTCCGCCTTCGCCGCCGCCGCGTCTGAGCCGGACGCCTCCCCCTCCCCCTCCCCCTCCCCGCGCTCCTCGTCTCTCCCCTTCTCAGCCTCTGTGTCTTCCTCCTGCAGGGAGCTCTCGGGGGGGTACTCAAACGTAGTCTGCAGACTCCTGTCGTTGAAGGAGATCTTCATCTAGGGCAGGAGGCACACCAGTGAAAGTGCTGTGCCCAGCCACTGGGCTCCTCCAGTGGCACCGAACGGGTACAGTGCGGGTGTCAGACCAGTGCAAGAGCCGAACACTCCGTTGGCCCTTCAAAGGTTCTGAGAAGTGGGGGGCTGCCCCTCCTCAGAGAAGTCCCCTCCACCTGGACCCTGCAGGCTCAGGATGTCCAAACACCTGCAGCCCAGGCCTCACCCATCCCCTCCCCACCCGAGGATCACTGCATCCCAAGTGACCCACCCCTCCCAAGGGCCAGACCCCAGCCAGCACCAGAAGCCCAAAGCCTCAGGGTCTCCAGAAGCCTCTAAGGCAGTTCCCATGGTTGCAGGTCTGCCTTCTCAGGGGAGCAGGGCACCACCAGCCACATCTCCCAGCCAGAGGGTCCCCGGCAGGAGCAAGGTCCAGGTGAGGCCGCACTTGGGGAGCCCACATCTACACCTCCAACAGCCCCTCCTGTTGGCCGGTGCCTCTCTCCAGGGCTGAGTTCACGTCCCAGCTCGCCAGGCACCCGGATGCTCCTGCCCACCCAGCTCGGCACGGACCACCACTGTTGGGCAAGAGCCCGGCACACCCAAAGCCAGGCCCCCAAGGTCCCGCATGGAAGCCGGGCGGCTGCCACGTGCCAGCCCCGGGAAAGTGGCACCAAGTGCTATCACCCACTTTGCAGACTGAGTCAGAGGTAGGTAGCCTGAGGCTGCACCGAGTGGGGGTCAGCGACCCTTTCCTCCCACTCGGACTGCCCACATGGCCCACGTCCACCCTGCCCACTCTGCCGGCTTCAGAATTGCATGCGTGGCAAATCTCCTTTCCCAAAGGCCTCAGAGGCCAGACTAGGCTGCCGGTTCTGAGGGGCTATGGGGACAGGCACTGGTAGAAGGACTTGGGCACTGGGGCTCAGGATCCTCACCCTCCGAGACCCGGGACTAGGCTCCCCACAAGAGTCGCACGTCCCCCAAGGCCTGCTCGGCAGGGCTCGGCCGGGCCTGGCAGGGCGGTAATGAATACGAGAGCTGCCCGCCTGCAGCAGATGGGAGCAGCCCTGCTGGAGCTCGAAATATTAAACTCCAGGGCACAGGACACCGCAGCCAGCTCAAGTTCCTCCTCTTCCCCTGGAAAGAGCCAGGGGCGGGAGTTGGGCCCCCACGCAGAGAAACTTGGGGCCTGGGGACAGCAGGACGGGGAGGGGCCTCGCAGAAGGGCTGGGCTTGCAGCCCTGGGCAGCAGAGGGACCCCGGCCTCAGGGTAACATGTGCAGGGCCGGCCAGGAGTGGGAGGCACTGCCCTGCCGAGCCAGTGTCCAGAGAGGAGCGCGATGTGCTCCTCCCACCGCCCCACGGGCACACACAGCCCCGCACAGCCGTGGGCATCCCCGCCCGCCCCCCCGAGCTCCTGGACTTGCGCGTCTCAGCACGGCCCACACAGGCACTTGCTGGGCAGGTCCCGAGCCCTGTCACTGCTGCCCTCGCCCCGGCCGTCCACACAGACAAGCAGTCCGGGACGCAAGCAGACGGGCAGACGGCCACCAAAGATGGATCAAACCAGGACGGAGATGTTCGTGACTGTCCCCGCATGGGCCCCACCCGGACCTCCAGCTGCCCCCGCCCCCCGCCCCCGGAGGCCAAACAGAGCAGGAGCCTGGCACGGGGTAATCACCAGGGCCCACAGGTGCCCGCCCACTGCCCAGGGACCACTGGAGCAGGCCTGGACCCTCCTCCACTCAGCTTCCCCACTGGCAGGGGGCCTGCCCTGGGCTGGGGGCTGCCCTTGACTCAGGGCGTCCCACCTGGGCAGCTGTGTGGGGTGATCCTGTGGCCCCTATGGGGATGGAGTCACCTGGGCCCCCCGAGACTGGCTCCCTGAGACCTGGGGCCAGAGACCCCAGGAGGAGCCCAAGGCAGAATGGGGCTGCCAGCACAGAGGCCCAGTCCTGGGCCCCGCAGCGAACGGTGCTCCTGGGTGAGTGGCATTGTCCTTGATGACCCTGAGCCCTCTGGGCCCATCCCCCACCACTGAAGATAGGGAAGGGCCAGTTGCCAGGGCCCAGCGGATCAGCACGCCCTCATTAGTCCGCATGACCAGCTCTGAGCGGGGAGACCGAGGGGGCTGGGTGCAAGCAGGCCTGGAGCCTGGCACAGCTGGGCCAGGCAGGGGCGGGGCTCACAGGCCTGTCAGCGCCCAGCTGGGGCCCGGGGCTCCGGTCACGTCCCACCTCGCCTTCAGTCTCCAGGCTCCTCGTGAGAGCGGGTCTGTGGGTCACAGGACACCACGTGACTCAATGCCCAGGCGGCGGGGGCAGCCTCCAGACCCCGGGCAGACGGAACCGGAGGGGGGCACAGGGGCTGGGCACTTGCACACACCTGATCACCGGGCTCAGGGACTTTGCCCGCTGCACAGTGCAGCCAGCAGGTGGGTCCTGGCTCAGCCCACTTCCCGTTGCTCACGGGGAGAGCGCCCTTTGTTCCCCTCACCCCACCCTGCCCGGCACGCCCAGCTCAGGTTACTGAAGGGTGTCCACCCTGCAGTCTGGGCTGGGAGCTGGGCTCCAGCCGCCCCGGCCTGGGGTGAGCACCCACCCCACGCCACACTCCCCAGCACGCGCCATCCCCCACTCAGTCCGAGCTCCGGGGGCCACACACGGTCCCCCAGAAGTTCCCACAGCTGCCCAGGTGGGACACCTCCTGGGCGTCAAGGGCAGCCTTCCCCCGCCCCCACCAGTGGGGAAGCTGAGTGGAGGAGGGTCCAGGCCTGTTCCAGTGGTCCCCGGGGTCCAAAAAGACCACCGAGGGCGGCACCTGCGGGGAGAACGGATGAAAGGAGAGGCAGCGCCCGCCAGCGGAGGAGTGGGTGGAGAAGCAGGCCCCCAGGGCAGCGGCGCCTCGGATCTGAGGGGATCTGAGGACCCGAGCGGTCGGGGTGAGGGTGGCTGCTACACCGCAGGCGAGGGTGAGGGCGTGGGGACGTGGCACGCTCGGGCTGGGCCGGGGATCAGCGCGTTAGAGAGTGAGGAGGGCAAAGGGGAGGGGAAGGAGCTGCCAGACAGGCAGGAGCCTAGCCAGCTGGCACCTCACAAAGGGGAGAGGCCCACAGCGCCCGACCCCCTGGGAGGCAGGTGTGCGGAGCTGCAGGCCGGCCCCACCCACCGGGACAGCCTGGGGGCGGGGGCGAGAGGGGGTGTGGCCGCGGCGGTTGGGCCAGCAAGGGACGGAGAGAGAGGGCATCTGTGATTCCACCAAGAGGTAACTAAGTGGGTACGTGTGCCCGGCCGGCTGGGCGCCCACTACCCAGGGCAGGGCTGCCGCCCTCCAAGGCCAGGTGAGACCACAACACCCTGCACCGGAGAGGTGGCAACCCGGGGGCAGGCTCCATGCCGTCAAGAGCTGCACCTCACCTGCCCCCTGGAAAAGGGACCAGGACCCCTGCCCTGGGAGGTCCCCAAGGTCCTGCTGGCCTCCAGGCCACCCGATCCCTGGAAGGCAGGGCGGAGGGAGCAGGACAGTGATAGAAACCCCAGGCCGGCTGGAGTGGGCTGGGCAAGGACAAGGCCCAGGGGCAGCAGGCAAGTGGGACGACGGGGTGGATAAAGCCAGGGGTAGCCCAAGGTCATTCTGAAGGGCTGGGCAGCCCCATGCCTCCGTCCCACCCGATAGGCGTTCTGGCTCTTCCTGGACAAGGCAGCTAGCGCATGCCCAGGCAGAAGATCACCCCCACCGCCAGCAGGTCGTGCTGCTCTGGCACGGCCCCAGCCAGGCCACTCGGCTATGCCAAGAACCATCCATCTGGACCCCCAACCCCTCAGGCTGGCACAGAGGCGGGGGCCAGGCTGGCCCGAGCGCCAGGCTGGACCAGGGCCTGCTTCCCTCCCATCACTTGTTCCTGTCTCGACAGGCCCTCAGGCCCCCACCCTGCCCTTCTCACTCCAGCCAAGCTCCAAGTGACCCCCACGGCTCTGCCCCGAGCTGGGGACAGAATGACCAGGCTCCAGGCTGCAGCCAGGCTCCCAGTATAAGGGCAGCCAGGTTAGGACAGGGGCTCACACTTGGGTCCCGCCCCACGAGCTCTGTGACCTCCACCGGCCTCAGTATCCTCTGTCTACAAAGCAAGGGGCTTCTGTCACCTCCACCGCCCCAGGCTAGCATGGGAAAGGATGCCTCCCAGATCAGCTGGAGTCAAGGGTCAGGAAGCAGGAGGAGGAGCAGACAAGGTGGGGAGGGCAAGCATGGGGTTGGGCTGGTGACCATGGCTACTGGATGACCGCAGCACCGAGCAGGGGGTGAAGCAAGGTCAGACGAGCAGGACAGGCAGGGGCTGGGGGCGCACCAGAAGCGCTGCGGGGGACGGGTGTGGGTGCCTGGCCCCGCAGGTGGAGTTGGCAGGAAGGCCGACGCCCTCACCGGGGAAGAGGGGATGCGGGGAGGAAGGACAGTGCCAAGGCCGACCCGGGGCGGGAAATCAAAGGAAGCCAACAGAGAGGGGCCGCCGCATCTAGCTAGACAGTGCCGGCGGGACAGCGGGTAAGGGGGCTCCAGTGACGCACGGCACATCACCGTCCCCCACGGCCTCAAGGAAACTGAGACTGGGGCAGAGGTGGCCTCAGGGATGAGCCGAGACACCAGCAGCCAAAGGAGAAGCGGTCCGGGGGAGGGTGCGTCCGCCCAGGGAGCCTGCTGATTGGAGTCATGTGGGGATGGCCTTGGAATTTGCCCCAGGGCCAGACACAGGTGCTAGGTGCTAGAATGACCAGGAAGAATCTGAGGAACGTCTCCTTGTGCCCAGAGGGTTCCAGGCCACCAAGCAGCCCTGCCAGGAGAGTGAGGCTCCAAGAGGCTCCTGGCCTTACACCCGGGTCTCTCTCCATCCTCAGTCTCTCCTCCCCAGTGAGGGGAGCGTCTTCATCGCTCCCCAGCAACACACCCCAGGCTCAGACCAGGCCTGCCACACACTAGAAGCTCAATAGACACTCATACGAAGCCAAGTCCTGCTAAGCTCCAGGCCAGAATGCCTTCTGGAGAGCTGACAGTAGGTATCCGACCCCACCCAAATCAAAGGTCTCCTGTCCCTTTCCACTTCCATCCTGGCACCTGCTACATGAATAGGCCAGGACTCCAGAAGAACATGCCAGGCCACCCTTCAAAGCCAGCCAACAGCGGGACCTACAAAGGGACAGTCCTGCCCAGCCAATTCCAGATAGAGCCACGAGAACGAACAAGCAGACGAAGCCCTGGCTGGACTGATCCTCCCCACCAGCCTTTCCAGGTACAGAGCAGGCAAGCCATCCCCGCAGCCCCAGGGTCACTAGGGTTCCGCTGGAACCCAGGCCAGGGATTCCCCCACAGCCTGGCCTCTCCTGGCGCTTACACGGCCACCCAGCTCCAGCTCTCCTCTGGTCCATGTAGAAGCCATCCCACACCCAGGCCAGGAGGTGTCCTGGGGACAAGGCACACGCTGTACCCACAGTTCCGTGACTCGCCACCACTGACCTTCTTTCTCGAAGAGCCGGCCTTGGTGAGGCAGGACTTCTGCAGGGCCAGGTAGCCGCCAATCACCTCGATCTCATGCACAGTGGGGTAGCGCTTCTTTACTGAGGCCCCCAAGGCAGCAGGGGGCTCCGAAAGGCTGCCCGGCCCCTCTTCCTCAGCTTCCCTCGGCCTGGCCTCCCCATTGGCCTGCAGGGCCCCTGGCTTCCTCTTGGGCACCACCGTGAAGGTGTTGCCACCTCGGTGCTGAAGCTCTGACAGGTGCCCAGGCCCGGTGGGATGCGGGTGGTACTGGGGAGGCGCACCAGCCCCGGGGCAGGGCAGTTTGGCTTCTTGGGGAACCTCGTCCTCAGAGTCCACCTCATCAATGAAGGTGACAGGCAGCCCTGGCCTACCAGGCTCCCTGCCATTCTTGGTCAAGCCAGGAACCCCAAAGCCCTGGGCAGGCTCAGCTTCAGTGGCGACCAGTGGGGATGGGGGTGGTGAGGACAGCCTCTGCCACCTAACGGTCCAGTCCACGAGGGCAGTGCCTGGCATGGGGCAGCCTCCCTCCTCGACCCCCGAGGGGCTCCTCCCACCGGCAAACACACCATCTGCTCCAGGCACCTGCTGGGCTTCACGCTCCTGGTGCTGGGAGGCCCAGCCAACTTCTCCCTCTGGAGTCTCCACGGACTGCCTCCCTTCCGCAGGAGGGGCCCCGGAGGTCTTGCGCTTGGGGATGAACACGAAAGAGTTTCGAGAGTTCATGCGAAGGCTGGCCAGAGCCCGGGCCTGGAGGTCCCCGGCAGGGATCGTGTCCATGTCTGGCTTAGAGGCCGGCAGTATCTCGAAGGAGTCGTTGGCGCTGGTGGCCGCGGAGACCCACTGGCGCTGGCTGGGAGTGGCACTAGCAGGGCTGAGCGTGGGCAATGCCGGGGGCGCGGCTGGAGTGGCACTGGGGGTTCCGGGGCTGGGGAGAGGGTGGGCGGGGGTCTCCCCCGACTCCACCTTTGGCTTCCACTCGCCCGGCCCAGGCGTGGAGCCCGTGAGGCCGTTGGCAGCGCCAGCCCGGCGCTCGGGGGCCGCGGGCCCGTTGGGGAGTGGGCGAGTGCCCGCGCTGAGGCGCAGGCCCCGTGGATGGACAGTGAAGGAGTTGCTGCCGGTCTTGTGCAGGAAGTCGCTGCGCCGGGGCCCGGGGCCGGGGCCTGCGCCGCAGCGCTCGGGCTCGGGCTGGAAGCAGGCGGCGCGCTCGCCCACGCGCGGGACCAGGGCCGGACCCGGGGAGGGCGGCGGCACCGGGCGGCCGCGCTCCGGGCTCCCACGGCGGCGCGGCGCGGCCGGCGGGTCGAACTTCTGGAGCAGGCGGCTAACGCGGCCGGGAGGCGGCGGCGCCTCGTACACGAGCACCTCGGCGGCGCGGATGCGGGCGGCCGGGCCCGGTCCGGGGCCGGGGACGGGAGAGGGAGGGAAGCCGGGCGCCGACTCGATAATGAGGATGTTGTCGGCGCGGATGGTGCGCACGCCGGGCACGCAGCGGTACAGCTCCAGCAGATGTTGCGCGGGCCGCGTCCCCGGCCCCGCCGCGCCGGCGCCCCCGCCGCGCCGCGCCCCGTGCCGCCGCTCCGACTCGAGCCGCATGAACGGGGTCTC